ACAAGAATTGCAACAACACTCGTCACCTGATGTACACACCTTCAACATAATTCAAATAGTGCAACTAACCCAAATCCGAAGGGGTAGTTCCCTCACAAAAAGTTAGGCAAGATACTTACCTCACAAAAGCTAAATCAATACTCTAAGAAGCCCTTCCCATGTGAAACAACCTCCGGATAGCTTGAATCTAGCCAAAATAACTTAATATCATAAATAAAAGTCATAGGACGATTCTGGATAATAAAGATTCGATCTTTAATGAAAATCAAAAAGTCAACTCAAAAAGATAACTCCTGGCCTGCACTTTGGAACCCGACAACACTCACAAATTTCGAACACCCATTCTGATATGAATCCAACAATACAAAAATCATCCAATTCCGACCTCATATCGGCCTTCAAATCATCAAATTATTTTTTAGAAACGTTTTTGACTAAAATCCTTAATTTCTCTAATTCAAATCATCAATTAAATGCTAAAAACAAGGATGAAATCATGAAATATAACCAAATATGGGTCAAGAATACTTACCTCAATCCAAATCGTAAAAATTTCCTCTAAAATCACCCAAAACCGAGCTCTTTAACTCAAAAAGTGATAAAATAACAAAAGCTCTCGAAAAAGAGTACTATATAGGTCTGTCTAGGGGTCCTCTTTGCGACCGCAGGACCTGCTTCGCGTTCGTGTAGAACAAATCATAAGCAGCCAACATTCCTTCTTCGCGAACGAGGTCTGAAGCCCGCGAACATGACCCCTCAGCTCAACTAGCCTACGCGAACGCGACCTCACTACAAGAACGCTAATTCACCTGCGCCCCTCCAGCTCTACCTGTACGCGATCGCGACACAAGGGACGTGAACGCAATAACCATCTCCTCTCCAGGCCCCGCGAACATGAGAAACAACTCGTGAACTTGGTGAGTAAATCCTCAGCCGCCCATAATACATTTCGCGATCGTGTACGTCCTTATGCAAACGCGATGAACTACAGAACATCAGAAAACCAGTAACTCCAAAATATGAAGAAATGGCCCGTAGCCCATCCGCAACACACCTAGGCCCCCAGGACCCCGTCTAATCACACCAACCAATCCTAAAACTACGAATCACACTTTAATTCGAGCCTAATGAACTAATGAACTTTCAACTTTCAAAACTCATGCTGAACCATATCAAACCAACTCGGAATTACCTCAAATTTTGCATGCAAGTCCCAAATGGAACAACGGTCCTATTCCATATTCCGGAGCCAAAATCTGAACCTGATATCAATAAAGTCAGCTCTTGGTCAAACCTCTCAATCTTCCAAACCTTCAACTTTCCTACTTCGGCTAAAAGGCACCAATTCAACCTACGGACCTCCAAATCCAAATCCGGACATACGCCTAAGTCTAAAAGCACCATACGATGCTATTGGAACCATCAAAAATCCATTTCGGAGTCATCTACATAAAAGTCAAACTCGTCAACTCATACAACCTAAGCTTCAAAATGAAAATCATTCTTGAACCGCTTGGAAATCGGAACCAATCATACATGCAAGTCAGAATACATCATATGAAGCTACTCAAGACTTAAACTACCAAACGGAATGCCAAAACTCAAAACGACTGGATGGGTCGTTAAAGTTTCCCTCACTTAAACATATGCTCATCCTCGAATGTGTCAAGAACCATTCCAAAGTCATCAAATCACTGAATAAATTTACCATACACGTACTCACGGGTGATCCCACGTCACCCCAATCCACATAAGCCTGACAATACCATCTCGACCGAAGATTAACACTTCAACCTTAACCAATAAGCCTAAGAACCAAAATTCTACATCCAAGCATTCCCAAAATCCCAATTTCCACACATACCCCCTGTATAAACCTCAACCACCTGCAACAAATCATAAGTATGCTCAAACAGTATAACCACACGACGCAACACATCACCCATATGCCCATAGCAATAACTCTGACCACAATAGCTACCCATTACTAAACTCGGTACCGGTAAATAGTCTCATAACGACTAGAACCTCATTCTAGACCTTCACAACACTACTAATGATATAAGAAACATGTGAAACTCATAACTACTCACCCAACCAAAACGCCACCTGGGAACATACATCGTAACCCAAACCCAACAAGCACAACTCGACTATGACTTAATATAAAAAGAGAAACACATAAGAAAACTATCAAATAAGTCCAACAGGTATAACTCCCCATCGGTACCATACTACAAATCCATTCCACCCGGGAGAAGTAATGCGTACGAACTAATCACAAAAAAAATCTCACCCTAACTTAACTCCACCGTGGCACGTAGCCCGATTCAAACATACCTATCCACAAAGAACACGAGGTTTCCATCCTCCACTCGGAATCACAAGTAAGATAAGCATCCCGAAAACTAAAATCCTTCTACTAACTCAATCTCGTAGAAAAAAATCATAGCACATAACCAACTCCCTATACCTGTAAAGCACCTAAATCACAAGTAGTGGCCAAACTACCCAGAAATCACATCAAAACCTACTGCATTAAGTAACAGAAAACCCAACCTAGTCTCATAACCTTCCATGATGACCAAACAAGAACGATAAACACGGGCTATCACAATAATATTCCCCAACTGATGCAGACACTCAAACAGAGTACAAGAACTACGAAAAATAATCATATATGGAGCAAGGTAGGATGACTCCTACCAATAAATAGGACCGGATAAAAATAAGACTGATGTATCTCTATAAAATCGAAACCATACTTGTAACGACATCATCTGGTACAGCAGCCTCCGGCCTACCAAGGAAAGCATAACAACGGGGCTGGCCTCCCCTTCTAGGATGCCCCCTACTCGCATGTCCCCCATCTCTAGCTAGCTGCGTAGGTGTAGTAGAAACTAGAGTGGAACCCATAGCTTGAGTGCTCCGATGTGGCACCCTCATCTGGAGTCTGGTACATTCTCTAACCATATGCCTGGTATCCCACACTCAAAGCAACCTCTCTGCTAATGTGGCTCTGGAAACTGTCCGGAACGGGTACTCTGGGACCCATGGATAACTGGAGCACCATGTGAAGCCTGAAGTGCAGACTGAACTAGCTGACCAACAAGACCTCTACTGTTACGCGCTCTACCTCCAAAATAGGGATCAGTGGATCCTCCCGATCCACGAAGCTTCTTGGCCTCCCTATCCTCCCTCTCTAGAACACGGATGCACTCAATCCTCCTAGTGATCTCCACAACCTGCTAAAATGAAGTATCGGTCTCCAACTCCCGTTCCATATTGAATCTAAGACCATAACTGAGCCCCCCGATGACTCTACGGACTCGCTCTTTGACTGTAGAAACCAAAGCAGGTGTAGGACAAGACAACTCATTGAACCTGATGGCATACTCCAACACCATCATTGTGCCCTGACAGAGCTGCTCAAACTCTATGCGCCACGTATCTCGGAGGGTCTAAGGAACAAACTCCCTCAAAATTATATCTGAAAATTGAGTGCAAGTGAGTGGCGCTGCATCAACTGCCTACCCTCCTCATAAGCATGCCACCACCTATATGTCGCCCATCTGCTCACCTCCATAATGCCCATGGTGTAGAGAATACACTGGCACTTATCCAGGAAACCCTGCATATCCTCAGTTACTATGCCACTGAAAGTAGGAGGATCATACTTCTTGAACCTCTCAAGCATCTTCTGCTCCTCTTTTGATACCTCTAGCCTTACCTCAGGTTGAACCAGAATAAGGGGTTGTACCTATATAATACCCAGAACCTGACCAACATCAGTACGCTGCTCTGGAGTTCGGGCGTAGGCGTTTGAGCTCCTCCCCTAGTCTACGAAGTAGCTGTTGAAACTGGGATCAATCCCGCCCGAGAAAATATACCAAACATGCTCAGAAATTTGCGCTAAAGTCTCCTGAAGTCTAGGGGTTGCAACAGACACTCCGGTGCCTGCCTCCAACCAGAGCTACTGGTGGCTCCTCAGCTGCTACTCTGGCAAGTGCTCTAGCTGCGGCATATGCTCCTCTCCGGTCTCTGCCACTGCCCCAGCCCCTAGCAACACCAGCTCTAGGTGTAGCATTATCAATAACTATAGCTTGTGTTCTCGCCAGAATAGAAGATTCAAGGCTCAAACTCCAAAATCAATAAACCCCCACGATAGGAATAAAAGAAATGAAGTTTCCAAATAGTTCTGTAGCCTCTTGAAGATAAATACAGACGTCTTTGTACTGATCCGCAAGATACTAAACTTGCTTATGATTCATAGCACCTATAAACCTGGCTTTGATACCAGCTTGTCACAACCCCAAAATCCTACCTTAGGAATCGTGATGGCACCTAGTCCCTAGGACTAGGTAAGCCTAACATATGCTGAGAATGTACAAAGATAACCAACTTAATTCAAAATATTAACTGATAACTGAAATAACATAGTTGAATAGAATAACAGTCATACAACCCCAAACCGGTTTTCACTAGAAATCTCTAAATACAATAATGTTCTGGAATGAAAATAAATAGTAGTAATGAAAGACAATAGAAAGTGACTCTGTTGCTTGCGATCGCCATGGTAGGTATACCTTGAAGTCTCCGTAATGAATCCCAACCGGCTAACTATCGTCCGACACGCTTCGAAGTACCTGGATCTACGCAACAATATGCAAAAGCGTAGCATGAGTACACCATAATCGGTACCCAGTAAGTATCAAGACTAATCTCGATGGGGTAGTGATGAGGTACAAGTCAAGACACCTACTAGACATAATTACCTGTGCAACGTATTAATATAAAGCTAAGAGAGGAACGATGTCAATATAAAGCTAAACATGGAAAAAATAACAAAGCAAGGGAAAGAATAAGCAACAAGTAGCAACAAGGAGTAAACAGGTGATAACGCAAAAAAGTAACCAGAACATAGTTAAAGTAAAACCAATTAAGGAAAAATAAATGACAACCAAATAATCAAACTGTTCTATTACAAGGTTTACAATGAAAATCACCCCGAGGTACCACACTTCATACTCACAAATCACGAGTCCTAATTCAAAAAAATCATACACACATGGCACCTCGTGCTCACATTACTTGTCACAACCGCACAGACAACTCATGTGCCAATATCAAATCGCCCGGCGAGGTCACAGGCTCAATATCACAATTCACCCGGCATAGTCACAGGCTCAATATCACAAATCACCCGGCGGCGTCACATGCTTAATATGATAAACCGCCCAGCATGGTCACAAACTACCAATCTAGCTATATCGCACAGAAAGCAAATTTACAAGAATGCATGTACATGGCCAATGATTGTCAAGTGTCATACTCCTGGACAGGTATAAATGGCATGTTAAAGTGTACGCACCTGCAAGTGTACTATCATAGCTTAAGTCAACAAGTAATATCAGTGACACCAAGTCGCACATTAGAAACAACACAACAAATCACATAACATGCATGACACACACAAGAAAGCCACACCACCAAACAAATATCTTTAATAATATGCCCCAAGGCCATCACATATCATCCCTGACATAGCCCCCTTGTCTCACCGCATGCGCAATAATAGTAAATGCCCGTCTTGTCTTTCCATACACACATTAACAATTATCCCACATTATCCCGCCACATGCGCAAACCCCACATATGTAAATAACCTGCCTTGTCTCACCGCATGTGTAATATCAATAATAACAATAGAACGGCAGAAGACTTTTGCAAATACCCCGACAATCCGCTTAACAGGCCCACATGCTCCCAAAACACAATAACATAGTATAACAACTCGTACCACATGTGCTCATATACCACAACATTGTCATAACAATTATAACGACCCAGCTGGTCATTTTGAGTATTTTAGTCCCATTCCCTAATTTATTGCCTTCTCTATGTTCAATTGGGGTTATGTGACTTGTCATGGTGGTTGGTTCAATTTTAGGCAAGTTTCAGAGTGAATTGGACACTTAGTCTGAAGGTTCAAAACTTAAGTTGGAAGAGTTGATCGGAGTTTGACTTTTGTGTAGAGGACTCCTAAATGAGGTTTTGATAGCTTTGTATGGTGATTTTTGACTTATGCGTATGTCCAGATATGATTTAGAGGTCAACAGGTTGGTTTGAGGCTTTTTGGCGAAAGTGGAAAGTCGAAGGTTTGGAAGGCTGATAGGTTTGACCGAGGGTTGACTTTATTGATATTGGGTTCAGATTGTGGTTTCGGGAGTTGGTATAGGTCCCTTGTGCCATTTGGGACTTGCCTACAAAATTTGAGGTCACACGGAGTTAGTTTGATATGATTAGGCATTAATTTTAGAAGTTAAATGTTCATTGATTCAATAGACTTGAATTGGGGTGCGATTCATAGATTTGATGTTGTTTGATGTGATTTAAGGACTCAAGTATGTGTTGTATTTTGAGACTTTATGGTATGTCTGAACAGGGTCTCGGGAGCCCCGGATGTCATTCGGATTGAATCCAGATTCATTTTGGACTTGGACGATTTTTATGCATGCTGAAGTATCGTACATTCGCACCTGCGCAATTTGGGCCGCAGGTGCGGCATAGAAAAAGCAACATCTGAGCTGTAGATCTGAGATTTGGGCTGGAAAGCTGGGTTCGCAGGTGCGGACGATCTTGCGCAAGTGCACAACCGCATATACGGATTTCATCCGTAGAAGCGGAGTTTGGTATGTTCATTGCAGAAGCGGAAGTTCTGGGCTTAAGTGAAAGCCGCATCTGCGATGAATATTCCGCAGATGTGGCATCGCTGATGCGACAAATTGTCCACAGAAGCGGACATCAGTTGGCAAAAAAAGGGTGGAATTGAGGGTTTATTCATTTTCCACTTTTTGAGTAAGAGAGCTCGATTTTGGGCGGTTTTGGGAATTTTCAAGGATTGGATCGGGGTAAGTGTTTTTGACTCGGTTTTGTTTATTAATCATGATTCCATCATTATTTTTATCATTTAATTAGTGGTTTAAGTTGAAAATTAGGTATTTTGTAAAAGGTTTCCTAAATCATAAATTGAGGATTTGGAGGTCGATTTGAGGTCAGAATTGGATAATTTTGGTATGGTTGGACTCGTATTGGAATAGGTTCGGATTTTGTAAGTTTAGTCGGATTTCGAGGTGCGGGCTTGGTGTTTACTTTTGATTTGATTATTTATTTTCTTTAAAGATTGAAACTTTATTATCCGGAATTGCTTCTTATGGCTTGTATTTATAGTATTGAGGTATTTTGGCTAAATTTGAGCCGTCGGGAGTTGGATTTTGAGGGAAAGGCTTATTACTGGATTGATTTAGCTAATTAAGGTAAGTATCTTGTCTAACTTTGGGGGGGGGGGGGGGGGGAATACCCCTTAGGGCTTGGGTTGATTTGTGTTATTTGAATTATGTGAAAGATGTGTACACGAGGCGACGAGTGTGTACATGTGCTTATGTGTGGTATTTTGACCGGATTAGACTCTTAGGATCTTTCATTTATTTAATTAGAAATTGTAATATCATGTTATATCTTCCACTATTAAATTACTCTTACATGCTTTACTTGATGATGTTATAACATGCTCTATCTTTTATTGTCAAACATGCTTTCATATGCCTTAATCGATGTTGTTATCTCTAGTATTATCATGTGCCTTTTTAATTGTGGAGTTATTTTTGTTTGAAGTTATTATTCCATGATGTCTTTTCATGTTGAATTATTCTCATGCATTTAGACGTAGTTGCTATTTCATACTATCTTTTTCGTTGTTAAGCTTATGTTATACAATTGAATTGGAAGTTGTCTTTTTGCGGGAATATTTTCATTTTGAGTTATTGAAGTTGAAGTTATGAAAGCAATTATCACATTGAGGTTGAAATTGTTGATTCTTGATATATCTCTCTTTGTTGGGTAATTCTCATTCATTTTTTTATTACTGAGATTCTTGTTCACTTTGTGGTTGATCCGTAAGCTATATGTCGTGGTAAGTTTGGTATTGTTAATTATGGCTAGTTGTGGCATATGGGAACTTGCAGTGCAAATTGTTATTGTATTGTGATATTGTGTGCATGCGGCCGTATAAGGATATGGGTTAATGTGCATTCGGCGACATAAGGTGGGATTTATGTGCACTTTGCTACTAAGGGAATTACTTGAATCCACACAGCGACATAAGGGGGCTAAAGTGCGTGTAGCTATTTCGGGAAAAATGTTTTAAAAAATCTAAATGTAAGGCTCACACAGTGATATAAGGAAAGATTGTGATTGTGATTTGTGAAATGACGTTATGAGGTGTGGCACCTCGGTTGTGATTCTTGTTGTGCATTCTATGTTAAAAAGTCTTGTTGATTGAACAGTTCTTGTTGTTTTCCTCCTTTGCCTTATTTGTATTTGTTCGTACTTGATTGCTTGTTATTCTCATTATGTGTTCATTTCTTGCTGTCTTTATTGCCTTAAATCCCGTTGTTAGCTTACATTATTGTATTGCCTTATTCTCATCTATTTAACTCGCTTCCCATTATTAGACTGCACTATATTTTCTTTAGTTATTATTATCCTAGTAGGTGTCTTGACCTGGCCTCGTCACTACTCTACCGAACTTAGGCTTGATACGTGCTGGATACCGTTATGGTGTACTCATACTACGGTTCTGCATATTTTTGTGCAGATCCAGGCACATCTGCTCGTGCCGGACGCCACTGATCGTACAATTATTTTTGGAGATTTCATGGTATAGCTACTCGACGCTCGCAGGCCTCGGAGTCGCCTTCAGTAGTTTCTTTACTATTGTTTATCCTATTATCAAATAGTATTGTATTAGAGAATTTACAATATTCTGTAGAGCTTATGACTCAGTTCCACCTTTTTTGGGGAATGTATTGTTGTTGTTCCTCTTTGGAGTATTTATGAGCTTTATCGATTCATTTTATTATCTTAGTTCGTTATTTTTGTTAAGTTATTTATGAATATTAGGCCTACCTAGTCTTAGAGACTTTTGGTGTCATCACGACTATCTTAGGTGGGATTTGGGGTTGTGACAACAACAATACCAATACCACCACCATATATAGCCCACAGCTCAACTACAATGAGTACCAATAATGACAACAATAACACACGAGTACGGATGGTGAGGACACACGCAATTGGATTTGATGATCAGACACCCGTGACCCCTGCTAGAGCCGAGCGAGGCTGGGGATGGGGATGAGGCCAAGGAGGGGCACATGCTACAGCCAGAGCACTTGCCTGAGCAGCGACTGAGGAGCCACCAATAACTCCGGTTAAGGGACAAGCACCCGAGGCGCCTGTTGTTGCCCTCAGACCTTAGCACAGTTCTTGAGCATGTTCGGCACTCTAGCTCAGGCGGGATTGATTCCCCTTGCACCAGCTACATCTTAGGCTGGGGGAGGAGCTCAAACTCCTACGGCCCGTACTCTAGAGCATCGGGTCGATGTTGATTAGGTTCCGGGCATCATGCCAACATAGCCAGCTATTTTGGTTCAGCCTGAGGTCAGGCCAGAGACTTCTGAAGAGGAGTAGAGGAGACTTGAGAGGTTCAAGAAGTATGATCCTCCTACTTTCAGCGGCACAGTTACCGAGGATGTGCATGGATTTGTAAAGAACTGCCACTGTATTCTCTGTACCATGGATATTTTGGAGGTGACCGGAGTTGCTTTTACTACATTTCGGCTGTCAGAAGTTGCACATCAGTGGTGGCAGGCTTACGAGGAGGGTAAGACAACTGATGCAGCCCCACGATATGTGTTCACGCCTATGGGAGATTCTATAATTGTACACTGTGCTTATTGGTCATGTTTAGTTACTCTTAGGGGGTATGAGACCAGAGTTGATCTATTTCTATTCAATATGGTAGACTTTGATGTGATCTTGGTCATGGACTTGTTGTCGCCCTATCATGCTATTTTGGATTGTCACGCCAAGATTGGCTATGCCAGGTTTGCCGCGGTTGGAGTGGAGGGATACGTTGGATTATATTCCTAGCATGGTTGTCCTTCTAAAGGCACAACGAATGGTTGAGAAGAGGTATGATGCGTACCTAGCCTTTGTGAGAGATTCAGTGTTGATACTCCTATCGTTGATTCAGTTTCGATAGTGAGGGATTTCTCATATGTATTTCCAGTAGACCTACTGGGCATGCCGCCCGATAGGGATATTGATTTTAGAATTGACTTGGTGGCGGGCACTCAGCCCATTTTTATTCCACCATATCGTATGGCACATGTAGGGTTGAAGGAATTGAAGGAGCATTTCCAAGAGTTGCTTGATAAGGGTTTTATCCGGCCGAGTGCCTCGCCTTGGAGTGCTCCAGTTTTTTGTTTGTAAGAAGAAAGATGGCTCTATGCAGATGTGAATTGATTA